TATTCTGTGATTCTATGATTCTAGCTGCAGTCTGCTCTCTGGTCAGGATGCCAGGGTAGAGACACAAGTATTCAGCAGGGAGCCCAGCTGCAAGCCCTAATCAGGGCTGGCTCAGAGGAACACGCTGAGCTGAGTGCTGACAGCTGAACTGAGCCACAGAAGGGCTATATAAACCCTGAACAAACCTCAGAGAAGGCTTGACTGGGAGGAGACAGGAAGGTAGTATTACTGCCCCCTTACCAAAGGGGGAAGCCTCTGGGACAGGAGACCCTGGGGAGGGTCTGGGAGGAGCACTAGCTGTGGGGAGACGGGGGAAATGCACGAATGTTGTAAATAAAGAGTCGATACTTGGGTGATCCAGCAAAAGACGGCATGGAAGGCTCTTTATTATACCAGCCTAAACACAGGGTGCAGGCATAAAAGTGGGAGAGCCAGCAAAGAACCCTGTGACACTCCCCCTACATTCAGCCATCCCAAAGTTCCTTAAACCTCTGAGTGCTGGGACTGGAGCCAGGGAGGGACAGGGCTGGGGGCTCCCAGGCCGGGGGCTCCTACCACATACTGAGCTCCAGCTGCTACTCCCAGTCAGGCTGGGGAAGGACGGGTCTTCCTCTTCCCCTGCTTGGGCCGCACCCTGGACCAGGTCAGACCCATCTCTAGGATTATCTGTTGGTGGCAGGAAGCTCTGTGACTCTCTGCTCATAAGGCAGCACTGCCGCCAGCAGCTGCATAAAACTATGTGGAAATTCCATGACTCCCCTACAATAGCCAGATTTCCTGGGGTAGACCAGCTTTCACAGTCTCTAATGCATTTTTCACAGCCTCCTGGGGTGGAACTTACCCTAAGTCCTATAAACATAACACCCTGCAGCGCAGCTCCCCTTTGCTGCCCCCTTCCTTAGCTTGTAGACATCCTACCAACTGTAACAATCTCCCAACCAATAAAGCTATATGCCAGCCACAGCACACAGGCCAGTATCAATGTGGTTCAATGGCTATAAGTTCATATCCAACCCTCAGGATAAGTCTGAGAACAGACCATTCTTGCTGTTACAACCTGAGTCTGTCAAAGGGGTTTTTCATCTTATTATTTGAGGGACTGGGGGAAATGTAATTGCAGGATGGCAGAAGACTCAGAAGGTGCTCAAACTATTAACAAATAAATAAATGCCATATGTGAATGTTTGCTGGGAGGGGGAATTAGGAGGCGGGGGGAATAGGGGTAAAGGGGATTGGGGCTGCAGCAAAGGGAGGGGGATTATGAGGAGATCAGAGGGGTTGGGGGTTCAGGTGAGGGATATTGGGTTCAGGTGATGTGATGGCAGGAGGGAGGCTGAGTGGGTGTCAGTCACGCCCACATTCTTCCCTCCCATATGTGCCCTGGGATCAGGCGGTACTGTCCCTCTGAGGGTGGCTGGAGGCATAATGTGAGCAGAATCTGGGGTTCTCCCCCTTTAGGGGGCTCTGAAGTCCTCTCCTTGCCCCTGTGCATGTGCTGGGATTTGGGGGGACCATCTCTCTGAGGGTGTCTGAGCCCATCTCCCTGCCCCTTGGTGTGTGCCAAGATTTGGGGGTCCACACCTCTTTATATGGTGTCTGGCCCCTCTAATGGCTTCCCCTCCTGTGTGCTGGGATCTCGGGACCCAGCCCCACTAGGGGATATCTGACATTCTTTCCCTGCCCCGCATGGGAGCTGGCATCTAGGGAAGCCCTGTCCCTCTGGCGGGGAGCTGTGTGCAGCCATCCCAGGAGCATGCACCAAAACAACACCACTAGATCCGGATGAGGAACTAAGAACAAGAAATCTTGGTGCATAACACAAGCTCCCAAGCACTGACCAGGGGAGGGGGGCTGAGAACACCCACTGAGATGAATGGAGCTATTGTCCCAGGCTATATCATCTCAATGGGTGCTCTCCTTCAGCGCATACCATCACACCGAGATCCATGGGCCCCATCACAACTGCACAAGTCAATGCACAACGTGCACAATTCAGTGCTATAATGAGGTGAAATGGATCTCTCAGGGTACCCAGGCACCTTTCCTTTGATCACACACCTGGGGGCAGAAAGAGGGACTCACTTCCGCCAAGTGGAACAGCCCCCTGAAACCATCTTGTCTTAGTCACAGTTCTGCCAAGCTGCTCCAGCTAACCCCTCCCCTGTTCAGTAGAGCGACACCTACACGCGGAGGACAGCTGGAGCCCAGGGGCTCTTGGCAGTTCCAGGGCACGGTTAAGGACCAGGGGCAGGCACCTTAACTCCTCATTGCTTGGTTTTCAGATGGGAGAGTTTTGCTGGGTTCGACATAGTGGAACGGTGCATGGAACCTCTGGGCAATGTTAACTCCATAGTTTGCCAGTGACTTAGCACTGACTGCCTGGCACACAAGGGAACAGGAGATGTGGACACAGCTCTGCTACAGCTTGGAACAAAGTCACAGCGTGCGAGGGAGGCTACTGTGTTTGTGAGAACTCCAGAGACTCAGCATCCCAGGAAGTCACACGGGAACACAGAGACAAAAGGAGGGAGAGCCAAGATGGATCCCACAAAGCTGGGGGTATTGAGGCAGTTGTTGCTGCCAACACAACCTCTGCCTTCAGCTCAGCTTTGCCAAGACAACCTGAGGATTCTCTGATGCTGGATTCCAGCTGAATAATAAATGTAACGCCATGTTGCTGCAGATACAGATTGCATTGCTCCCAGCAGATAACGAACCATGACAGCCCCATGCCAAGGGGTTTCCATCTTGTCATAGGTAGAAACCTGCCCCAGGATAGAGGGGCACCAGCAGAACTGGTTTGCCCATGTCCCACCCCAGGCTGTGCTCATGTTTCCTCAGAATTCTACTCCGCTGGTCCCAGGAAATCATCTCACCTCTCCCGGCCCATGGAAGGAGTGCCTTGTAACTGCAGGGATGCGGCTGCCCCCAGCTCCGGGCCAGGCACAGACTCTGTTAATGGTTCATTCACTCAGGGATCAGAGGCTGGAGCAGCCCCTGAGGGAGAGCCAGACCCAGCGGGGACAGGACCAGCTGCTGCCAGGCAAGGACCTCACTGCCTCACGGACACCTTGTCTCTCTATCTTCACAGCGGTTGCCGCTTAACCTGGCAGAGAGACTGTCCAGGTAAGTGGGAGCTACTGGGGCCACCTGAGTCCTGCACAGACCCGCCGTGGCATGGCTGGGGCCACAGACACAGAGACAGGACAAACTGGGAGGAGTGGTAGATTCACTGGAGGGTAGGGATAGGATACAGAGGGACCTACACAAATTAGAGGACTGGGCTAAAAGAAATCTGATGAGGTTCAACAAGGACAAGTGCAGAAATCTGCACTTAAGACAGAAGACTCCCATGCACTGCTACAGATTAGGGACCGAGTGGCTGGGGAGCAGTTCTGCAGAAAAGGACCTAGGGGTTACAGTGGATGAAAAGCTGGATATGAGTCAACAATGTGCCCTTGTTGCCAAGAAGGCTAACAGCATTTTGGGCTGTATAAGTGGGAGCATTGCCAGCAGATCGAGGGACATGATCATTCCCCTCTAGTCGGCATTGGTGAGGCCTCATCTGAAGTACTGTGTCCAGTTTTGGGCCCCACACTGCAAGAAGGATGTTGAAAAATTGGAAAGAGTCCAGCAGAGGGCAACAAAAATGATTAGGGGACTGGAATACATGGCTTATGAGATGAGGCTGAGGGAACTGGGATTAGTTAGTCTGCAGAAGAGAAGAATGAGGGAAGATTTGATAGTTGCTTTCAACTACCTGAAGGAGGGTTCCAAAGAGGATGGATCTAGACTGTTCTCAGTGGTACCAGATGACAGAACAATGAGTAATGGTCTCAAATTGCAGTGGGGGACGTTTCGGTTGGATATTAGAAAAAACGTTTTCACTAGGAATGGGTTACCTAGAGAGGTGGGAGAATCTCCTTCCTTAGAGGTTTTTAAGGTCAGGCTTGACAAAGCCCTGGCTGGGATGATTATGTTGGGGATTGGTCCTGCTTTGATCAGGGGGTTGGACTAGATGACCTCCTGAGGTCCCTTCCAACCCTGATATTCTATGATTCTATTGTAGGTTCTATGGTGAGTAAGGGAGAAGCACCCAGACTGGTATGTTATTGTAGGGTCTTGACTCTCACAAACACAGCTTAGCAAATTGGGGAAAATGTTGTGAAGATTTGTTGCCCCTTACAAGAAAAATTGGACTCAGTTGAGGTACTGATCTGCCACTCCTTGAGCTCTGGGAACACTTTTGCAAATTCTCATCAAAAGGGATTTTTAGATTGAAAAGCTGAAACATTAACTGCAAGGAAGTGCTGATACTTAGGAGGAGAGGAAAATCCACAGGAAATGCTGCACTGAGAATATAACCATTGGGGTGGTTATTGTAGGGTCTCTGGTGGGTACAATGTTGTAAGCAGAATGGTTTGTTATTGTCGGTCTACCCACAGCATTTGTTATTTTGGCAGGGCTGGATGATTGCAGACACCTGTCAAAGTTAGACTCAGGACTCATAGTTTGTCAGACCACTCTGTTTTATTAGCACAGCGCTCTGCTAAT